TTGCCACAATGATAATGACAGGACACTTGACACAATAATAATAACAGGACACTTGCCACAATGATAATGACAGGACACTTGACACAATAATAATGACAGGACACTTGCCACAATGATAATGACAGGACACTTGACACAATGATAATGACAGGATACTTGACACAATGATAATGACAGGATACTTGACACAATGATTATGACAGGACACTTGCCACAATGATTATGACAGGATACTTGACACAATGATAATGATAGGACACTTGCCACAATGATAATGACAGGACACTTGACACAATGATAATGACAGGATACTTGACACAATGATAATGACAGGATATTTGACACAATGATAATGACAGGACACTTGACACAATGATAATGACAGAACACTTGACACAATGATAATGACAGGACACTTGACACAATGATAATGACAAGACACTTGACACAATGATAATGACAGGACACTTGACACAATGATAATGACAGGACACTTGACACAATGATAATGACAGGACACTTGACACAATGATAATGACAGGACACTTGACACAATGATAATGACAAGACACTTGACACAATAATAATGATAGGACACTTGCCACAATGATAATGACAAGACACTTGACACAATGATAATGACAGGACACTTGACACAATGATAATGACAGAACACTTGACACAATGATAATGACAGGACACTTGACACAATGATAATGACAGGACACTTGACACAATGATAATGACAGGACACTTGACACAATGATTATGACAGGACACTTGACACAATGATTATGACAGGACACTTGACACAATGATAATCTGAGGACACTTGCCACAATGATAATGACAGGACACTTGACACAACAATAATGACAGGACACTTGTCACAATGATAATGGCAGGACACTTGACACAATGATAATCTGAGGACACTTGACACAACAATAATGACAGGACACTTGTCACAATGATAATGACAGGACACTTGACACAATGATAATGACAGGACACTTGACACTAAGATAATGACAGGACACTTGACACAATGATAATGACAGGACACTTGACACTAAGATAATGACAGGACACTTGCCACAATGATAATGACAGGACACTTGACACAACAATAATGACAGGACACTTGTCACAATGATAATGGCAGGACACTTGACACAATGATAATGACAGGACACTTGACACTAAGATAATGACAGGACACTTGCCACAATGATAATGACAGGACACTTGACACAATGATGATGATAGGATACTTGACACAACAATAATGACAGGACACTTGACACAATAATAATGACAGGACACTTGCCACAATGATAATCTGAGGACACTTGCCACAATGATAATGACAGGACACTTGACACAATGATGATGATAGGATACTTGACACAACAATAATGACTGGACACTTGACACAATGATGATGGCAGGACACTTGACACAACAATAATGACAGGACACTTGACACAATGATTATGATAGGATACTTGACACAATGATAATGACAGGACACTTGCCACAATGATAATGACAGGACACTTGACATAATAATAATGACAGGACACTTGACACAATAATAATGACAGGACACTTGACACAATGATAATGACAGGACACTTGACACAATAATAATGACAGGACACTTGACACAATGATAATGACAGGACACTTGACACAATGATAATGACAGGACACTTGCCACAATGATAATCTGAGGACACTTGACACAATGATAATGATAGGACACTTGTCACAATGATAATGCCAGGACACTTGACACAATGATAATGATTGGACACTTGCCACAATGATAATGACAGGACACTTGACACAATGATAATGACAGGACACTTGACACAATGATGATGACAGGACACTTGCCACAATGATAATCTGAGGACACTTGACACAATGATAATGATAGGACACTTGTCACAATGATAATGCCAGGACACTTGACACAATGATAATGATTGGACACTTGCCACAATGATAATGACAGGACACTTGACACAATGATAATGACAGGACACTTGACACAATGATGATGACAGGACACTTGCCACAATGATAATGACAGGACACTTGACACAATGATAATGACAGGACACTTGACACAATGATAATGACAGGACACTTGACACAATGATAATGACAGGACACTTGACACAATGATATTGACACGACACTTGACACAATGATAATGGCAGGACACTTGACACAATGATAATGACAGGACACTTGACACAATGATATTGACACGACACTTGACACAATGATAATGACAGGACACTTGACACAATGATAATGACAGGACACTTGACACAATGATATTGACACGACACTTGACACAATGATAATGGCAGGACACTTGACACAATGATAATGACAGGACACTTGACACAATGATAATGGCAGGACACTTGAAACAATGATAATGACAGGACACTTGACACAATGATAATGGCAGGACACTTGA